ACGGTTATTGCTGTAGACAACTTCAGCATGAAGGCGCGCAAGGGCCAGATCATGGTGTTGCTCGGTGCAAACGGTAGTGGAAAATCTACTACACTCGACGCTATTGCTGGTCTCAACTCTATCACTAGTGGCGCCATCGAGATTGATGGTACTGGTGGTCTTGGTCTCTGTCCCCAGAAGAACGTCATGTGGGACGAACTCAATGTTTACGAGCACGTCCGCCTGTTCAACCAGCTCAAGTCCACTGGCGAGTTCGACTCGAAAGACAAGATTGAAGATCTCATCCGCGCTTGCGATCTAGGTCATAAGATGAAGGCGCAATCAAGCACACTTTCTGGTGGCCAAAAGCGAAAGCTTCAACTGGCAATGATGTTTACTGGTGGTTCTAAGGTCTGCTGCGTCGACGAAGTCTCATCTGGTTTAGACCCCCTTTCTCGACGAAAGATCTGGGAAATCTTGCTTGCTGAGCGTGGCGATCGCACATTCTTGCTTACTACCCATTTCCTCGATGAAGCAGATGTTCTTGCTGATTACGTCGCTATTCTCTCCCGCGGTGTACTCAAGACTAAGGGCACATCTGTCCAGCTTAAGCATGAGGTCGGCGCTGGATACCATGTCACCTATCCCAAGAGCGCTCTAGTAAAACCACCTGTTGATGCAGTCAAGAAGCCTTCACCCTCAGAAGGCATGGTTCAGTACCAGTTCGCTGATGCGCTACCTGCGACTAGGTTTGTGGACATCTTGAGAGACCACGGTGTAAAGAATTACGATATCGTTGGGCCAACGCTCGAAGACGTGTTTCTGGCAAATGCTGAAGAAGTCAAGGAATATAATCTCATGGATGCCGAGCATGGCGAGCACGCCGATGATTCTGAAAAGGAGGCCGATGTGCCTTTGGATAACATTTCGGACTCGGAGAAGAGACTTGACATGGGCAAGGGCCGCGGTACAGGACTGTTCCAGCAAGTACTGATCCTGATACAAAAGCGAGTCACCATCGTCAAGCGCAACTTCTGGCCTTATGTCTTCGCACTGATTCTCCCTATTGCTGCCGCTGGCTTAGTCACGCTCTTCCTTCAGGGCTACGAAGCTGTCGGTTGCGATCCGGGCGCCGCTTCCAACGACCCGGAAATCTTTTCACTTTCAAGCGCAAAACGGATACCACTGATCCCAATCGGACCGCGTAGCACGGCCGGCTCCGCAGTAGAGACAATCGCCCAACGGTCTGGTGTTCGAGAGAACGCCTTCAATATTGTGGATACGCTTGACGATTTCAATGGCTTTGTACAGACCCGCTTCCGCAACATCACGCCTGGCGGTTTCTTCCTGAATCAGAATGGTCCGCTTCTCATGGCGTACCTCGGAAATGGCGGTGTCGTTGCTGGTCTGATAACACTCAACACGCTTGACAACATTGCTAGCAACATTACAATTGCGACGCAATACCAGCAGTTTGCCGTGCCGTTTGCTCCTAATATGGGAGACACTCTCCAACTAACACTTTACTTTGGCCTTGCCATGTGTGTTTACCCGGCCCTGTTCGCTTTATACCCCACGCAAGAAAGGTTGAGGAATGTTCGAGCTTTGCATTACAGTAACGGTATTCGTGCTGTACCTTTATGGGTAGCATACACGGCTTTTGATTTTATATTCGTGCTTATAATCTCTGCCATCACAACAATCATCTTTGTCGCAGTAAGTCCATCAAACATTTGTGGGTGTAACACACACTGACCCTAATTTAGGCATCAAGTGCATTTTATGCGCCGGGATACATCTTCGTCGTCTTCTCCTTGTACGGCTTATGCGCAATTCTCTTCTCATACCTCATTTCGATCGTTGTTACTTCGCAACTTGCAGCCTTTGCGTTCGCGGCTGGAGGCATGGTCTCGCTTTACCTCATCTATTTCATTGGATACATGGCGATTCTCACCTACGCCCCTGCTTACGCTATAGACTCGTACATCGATTACTTTCACTGGACCGTCTCAATCATCTCGCCCTCGGCAAGTTTGCTGAGAACGCAGCTGCTGTCGCTCAACTCATTCAGTATTCTGTGCGATGGTACCCGGATCCCAAGCTACCCCGGTGCCATCACTGTCTACGGCGGCCCGATCTTGTATCTTATTGTTCAAATCATCCTTCTCTTTATTGCTTTGGTCTGGTGGGACTCTGGATACCGACCCCCATTCCTCAACCGCGACAAGAGCCGCCAACACCATTCTGAGGAGAATGTGGAAAACATACCACCTGCAGTTGCAGCGGAGATTGCTCGTGCCGAGCAATGCAAAGACAGTCTTCGCGCACTGCACCTTCACAAGCAATTCGGCTCGAACCACGCTGTAAACGACATCACATTCGGTATTCCTCAAGGTCAAGTCTTCGCACTTCTAGGTCCAAACGGTGCTGGAAAATCTTCTACTATCTCACTTATCCGTGGAGATATCCACCCTACAACTCACATTAACGGCGGCGGCGACGTCCTCATCGAAGACATCTCCATTGTCAGGAAACGCGCCGCTGCCCGAGGCAACCTCGGAGTCTGCCCACAATTCGATGCCATGGACACCATGACCGTTACAGAGCACCTCCACTTCTACGCTCGCGCCCGCGGCGTGACCGACCCCAAAGCCAGCGTCGAAGCCGTCCTTCAAGCAACCAGTCTGACCCGCTTTGCCGACCGTCTCGCATCGAAGCTCTCCGGCGGCAACAAGCGTAAATTAAGCTTAGGCATCGCACTCATGGGCAACCCGTCCGTCCTCCTCCTTGACGAACCCTCAAGCGGCATGGACGCAGCCGCCAAACGAGTAATGTGGCGCACGCTCCTCGGCGTTGCGGCACCGGGCCGCGCCCTCCTCATCACCACACACTCGATGGAAGAAGCAGACAAGCTCGCCACCCGTGTGGGTATCATGAAACGCAAGATGTTGGCGCTCGGCACGGTGTCAGATCTTGGTGAGCAATACGGTGACGCGTGGGTTGTTCAACTCGTGCTCAAATCCGCGCCTGAGACTACCGAAGAGGAAATGGAGCAGGTTAAGCAGTGGGTTGCGCGAAGTATCCCTGGTGTTCAGTTTGATAAGTGGGGGTCTAGAGGGGGTGGACATGGGCAGTTGAGGTTCAAGGTGCTTAAGGCTGCGGCGACGGAGTCTGCTCACTTGGACAAAGAGGGTAAGGTTGCTGATGTGGATGTGATGAGGGTTGGTTCAAAGGAGTCAGCATCGGATCTTGGTGGTATTCCTGGGTTGATTCAGCTGCTTGAGACGAATAGGGAGGTGTTGGGCTTGGAGTATTATTCTGTTTCGCCCACGACACTAGATGAGGTTTTCCTCCGCGTAGTCGGCGAGGAAGAGGAGGAAGAGAAGGGGAAGACGGGGGGTGCGTCGAAGGTCAAGCGTCTTTTGACTTGTGGGCTTGCTCGTTCGTAGATTAATGAGGTATAGAGACGTGTGGGGGTATACATTGAATGCGTTTTGCTTTTCTTCTTTGAACATCCTATGTAGTAGGTAAATTACAACGATACCAACTTTAAAACTTCCTACACATCTTCCCTTTTTTTGAAAAATCGCGTGACAGCCTCACAACACCTTCTTACTCATAACAACATACTCAGCCCTAACCACCTTCCTCCGCATAACCCTATCAACAGGACTACACTCATCCCTCCCATACCCTAACTTCTCATACATCCTCTTCGCCCCCTCGTTCGCTACAAAGACCGTTAGCATCGTCTTCTCGATACTACAGGCCCGCGCGACGGCTTCGACAAACGTCATCAGCCGGGACCCGAGACCCTGGCTGCGTAGAGTGCGGGAGAGGTGGATTTCGTAGATGTAGAGTACGGCGCGGTCTTGGTGTGGGGGGTCGTCCCAGGTGAACATGAAGGAGATGAAGCCGAGGATGGGGGGGTTGGGGGATGCTGGTTGTGGGGGAGGGGTGGGGGTGGAGGGGGAAGTGTAGGTTTGGGCGAGTTGTTCGAGGTCGTCTAGTTTTGCATGCTGTTGGGGTGATGGATCCAGCTTCCGTCTTTTGGAACTACTTGTTTCTTCATCGCTAGGCTGTGTGTTTTGTGAGCGCGTGGCTTGCTCGGCTTGATGTTGTTGGTCTTTGTGGTCAGATGCAGACACTGTGTTTGTATTTGCTTGGCGGACGAGTAGGTATATCATGTCCTTGTCCATCATTTCTTCTCGCTTCTTGCGCGTGTTCCAGCCGATTCTTGAGGCGCGGTAGTCGGCTCCGGATGTTTGCTCGACGAGGTCGATGCAGGCTTGCAGGTCCTCTTCTTTGAGCTGGGTGGCTGAGGTTACGAGATCGAATTTTAGTGGGAATGGTTGGTTTGGTGACTCGTAGGATGTGAAGCCGACAAGTTTGTCTTCGAATAGCATTTTTACTGTAAGTGTACGTTGGACGGCGTGAGGCATGTTGATTGTTTAGGGCCTGTCAAGGCGAATTGGCGGAGAAGAACTTGGATTTTCTGATCCAGTAGAAGGTTGGTGGCTTGGATGGTAATCTCCTGATTGAACCGCCCGAACAATTATTTCATTCAACTGCGCTGTATTAACAAAGGTGAATGGTTTGCGATTGGCCCCTGTGCGTGTATCGCTGGTGGGGTGATGGCGCGTTGTGGGGAACGCGTCGCGGGGCTGGTCATCATTCTGATTTGAAGTCTACGTAGTACAAAGTAAACCGGAAGGCGGTAATTGGCCAACTTCTATGGAATACTGAATTCTTTGATATCTATCACGCTATCTACGATCACGTATTCTATGACCAGCAAGCCTAGCTACGCGTCGCCATCCGATCTCGAGTGCGAGTCGTTGTCTGCCGCGGTCCCACGTCGGCGTCGTCGCGGATCTAGCGCCACCACGGTCTAGTTCATCTCTTTACGTCAGTCTGCATCAGTGTGAAGAGCCTCGTTCATCCTTACCAAACCCCATTTTCGTCAGTGTTCCTGCATCTTCAAGTACAGGCAAATTGTGTTTGTTGGATCGCATCGAGGCATGCTGCGACGATATGCGACAGTAGCGTCCAAGCCTCTTTCTCGGCTAGGCGCTCGAGGGAAAAGTCCTGTTAGCCTCGACCACGTACGTGATACTTGCATGTTCGTAAGAGCGAATCGAGACGGGCTGACTTCCACGCAGTTCATTCAGCGACAGCGCGTGCTGGCATTGTGGCGAGACATTGTTCGGAGTACAGCCAACATCCCCGATGAAGCGGCAAGGAAGGATATGCGACAGTTTGCAAGATCTGAGTTTGAACAGCATCGCCGAGTGACTGACCTAGTACGCAAACAATCATGAATTGATATGTATCCTAGCTAATCGCTCTGTAGGGCCACATTCGATACCTGATTTCCGTATGTTTCTTCACAGCATCACAACGCCTATTCAGTCTACTAACTCGATCGTAGCATGGAAAAACGCAATTCCAGGCAATGAGAGACACTCTTATTAACTCTGGTATACTCACTGAATAAAATCTATTTCATACATCGTTCCTGCAGCTGTCTTCGTGCTCTATGTTGAACTATGTTTTCATTGGTCAATTCTTCGAGGGGCATTCGTTTAGCGCCTCCAACACTAGCATCAAGCACCTCAACACCGTCTTACTCTATTCCACCCTTTTACACTTTTAACACTATTTTGACTTACATCCAACCTTTGAGGTGTTTTGAATCTCCCATTCTGCACTGAGCACATATTTTTCATCACAAAAGATCCCCTGCAATGGCACTTCCTTCAGAAACCTCGGTGTTGATCGTGGGCGCCGGCCCCGCAGGATTAGTCACTGCAAAGATATTAAAACAGGCCGGGTACACTGTCACCGTTTATGAGAGAGCCGAGCGGGTTGGAGGCATGTGGAGAGATGAGCGGGGAGGACTTGGCGATAAATGCAGCCCAGATATGCGAACAAACCTCAGCAGATTCACAGTAGCTCTCCCTGATCTTTCGTGGAAATCCGTTGACACAGACGCTCTGCAATCTGGTCCAAATGCACCACTCATGTTCCCAAAGGCTTGGCAAGCTGGGAAATACCTTGAGACTTACGCGGGGACTTTTGGAATCATTGAAAATATCATCCTCGGAACGCGTGTCGTCGATGCGCGTCTACAAGACAACCGGACTTGGAAGGTAACCAGTGACGATGGATCCGGAAGGCAGAGCACTATCACGTTCGACCGTCTCATCATCGCAAGTGGCTTCTTTGGCAAACCTTGCAAATCCTTTGATCCCTCGCCATCCAAGGACTTGCCAAATATTAAGCACTCTTCTCGTTTTCGCAATGTATCTGAGCTGAGTGGGCGGCCCGGAAAGATTGCTGTCATTGGAGGGGGCATCAGTGGCTCAGAAGCAGCATCACAAGCGGCCTTTCAGATTTCAAATGCACAGCATTCTCCTAGTAAAGAAAAGCCTGTTCATGCTGCAAGCACAGTTTATCATATCTTCAATAGGCCATTTTATTGCTTGCAGCGATATCTGCCTCAGGATCCGCAAGATAAAGAAGGGAAATTCAACCAAGCGCCAATATTTCTTCCCCTTGATCTCGTTCTCTACAATCTCTCACGGCGCGGCGATGGAGAGATAACAGCAGCCATCGCCACCGTCCCACCCGAGAAGGCAAAAAAAGGTCATGATTTTCTGAGGTCAAGTTTAGGAGGCGACCAGAGTGATTTCGGGTACCCGAAGCTGACATACGATGCGGAGCACATGCAACATCCTGGGTACACAGGTATCACGGATACGTATATGGAGTTTGTAAGAGATGGGACCATTGTACCAGTGCAGGGTTGGGTGGATAAGGTCAATCAGCAGTCGGACCGCGATCTTTTTGACATCGAGCTAAAACAGTACAAGCCGTGGTATCATTCTCCTGAGCAGGAGGCAGCTGTAAGCTGTTGCTCTTTCAAAAAGAATTTTCAGAATCACTGATGTTTTTTACTAGGGCACCAGCAAACTCACTGACGTGACTGGTATAATCGAAGCTACGGGTTACAAGACTGACCTAGACTGGCTTGACCCTCAAGTGAGGGAGCTGCTAAACGACAAAGACACACCACCAAATGCAAGAATACCATTCGTCCTCTCACGCGGCTCAATATTCGCAAACAAATTCCCCACTCTTGGCTTCGTTGGATTCTACGAAGGACCTTACTGGGGAGTAATGGAGACCCAAGCTCGTTTTCTCGCAGAAGCCTGGGCCAAGCAGGAAATAACCACGCTTCTCGAATCTCCAGACCGTGAAATCTACAAGCCAGACTCTGCAAAGTACATGCGCGAAGCCATGAAGAAGGACCCCCTTCAAGTCCCACAATTCTGGATGTCAGACTACGTCGGCCTAATTGAAGAATTCGCACGGGAAGCAGGTCTCTCGCGCGACGACTCCGCCTTCGACGGCAAACAAACCGGCCCTGCATTCCCCTCACGCTACCAAGGCGCAAACACCGGGACCCAAGCCAAAGAAGTCGTCCAAGAAGTCGCCGAGCTAATCAAAGCATCCTCTGAAAACGCGCGCTTCGTCGCAGCCGCCGTCTTCACAGCCATGCAAGGCATCTGGAACATCCATCGCAAAATCGAATCCCGTACCAACACCCCGGGTGGTATCTTTACCGGCACAGCGCATTTCCATCCGCGCGACCCCACAGATCCCACACTCTACTCCGCAGAATATCTCTACGTTGAAAACGGCACCTTCACCATAGACAACGGTCTTTCCTTCCCCGCAACCCGACGCTACGTATACCGGTACTCGGAGGCCCGGGATAAAATCACCGCGTGGTTCGTTGGCGAGGACAACGAGAGCGTAGGCGCGCTGTTCAATACGTGGGAGTTTTATGCGCCAGAGGATGAGAACAGTGGGTGGATGGCAAAGGGGTATCATTGGTGCGATCCCGATACGTACAGGAATACGTGTGAGTTTCGGTTTAGAGGCGTGAGGATTGAGCGGTTTATGGTGAGGTATGAAGTGCAGGGCCCGAAGAAGGATTATCAGCATGAGAGTTGGTATGAGAGGCCTAGGGCGGAGGATTTGAAAAGGGGGGGTACGTGATATAGCAGTGGTATTTCAAAGTGGTTGATTGGAAGGGGGTATCATATTCTACTTGTTGTCGTTTCTATCGTACAATGTTTTTTCGAGCACAACTTCTCGCAGGAGAGTTTAGTACTCTGCACCTCCATTTGCAAGCGTACTGGGATGTGTAGGTGGTCCGTCTCTGCCAACACTGCTCAAGTCCGCGAGGAGAATCTTGAGATGATTCTGTCGATTTTGGTTACTGCTCCAGGTGACGGCTTGGGAATAGTACAAGATATCCCACGCCTCATCACTAATGTTTTGTAGGAAAGTTGGTAACGAGCGCGCTTTCTGGTACGAGCGCCAAAGTATACGTCTGATGTCGTCGTTGGCGCCAATGTACGCGAACTGGATTGCTTGATTGAAGGACTTGAGGGCAGGCGAGATATTGAATGGGGGTGGGAGGTGGACGCAAAGGCGGTCGAGAGCAGCACTATGTTCTGGATCCTCGCGAGCCATGACCATGCGTTCCTTGAGTGTAGCAGTGCGACTGTCATCGAGCTCGTATGGATCTGGCGCCGTCTCGTGCGCAAGAGTTGTCAAGTCGCCTGGTTGCGGCTTGTGCTCTGAGATGAGTTTTTGGATATACATGAGTTTCTCCATAAGTTTAGGATCTTCCATGATTTTGTCGACCTTGGCTTGTAGCTCGGCAGGTACTTCTTCCTCCTCCTCTTCCATCTGTGGGGGCTGCGATGCTTTGGATAGAGCAAGCTTCTTTAGTTCTTCAGCCAGTTCTTCGGGATCCATTTCGCGTTCAAAGACGCCTTCTTGATCTTGTGTACCTGTTGGGTCCTCCCTGAGTGCTGCGTCGAGTTCGGCCTCGAGGTTGGAGTCGCCACCCAGTGACTTCATGACATCGCGCATCTGATGCAAAAGTTTGTCTACATCCTGCATGTCTTCTGGTGTTGGCATGGCAAGGTCGTCATCTGGCTTTTCGGCTTCGACGATGGCATCACTGGTGTTTCTCTGGTATTGCTCCCACTCTTCCTCTAGTTCCGCATCGTCTACATCTTGGTCCAGTGCAGCAATTTTCTTCTTCATGGCCTCATTGCCTTCTAGCTTAGCCATAGCCTTTTGCAGTATTTGTTGGAACTCGGGGCTGTCAATGTCCTCCATTTCCGGCATCTTATCAATGACTTCTTGTAAGTCTGCCTTTGCATCGCCAATGTCTGGGTCGTCGATGAGTTCTTGTATGGCCTCGTGTGTGGCCATTCGAAGACCCGCATTAAACTCTTTGCTGCTTGCTTCAGCCTCGAGTGCATCTTCTTCATCCATGGCTTCAAGCTCTTCCTTGGATTTGATGCTCTGTTTGATATCCTTCAGCTCTTCCGTCAACTCGGCGAAGTTTGGGTTCGAGAGGAGGCTGTCGATGAGGCGCCGGTTCAGTTTGGCATCGTCGTAGTCGGGGTTCCTTTGTGACTCTTCTATCATAGTATACATCTCTTTGTCCTTCTTGCGGTCCTCAACAGTTGCTATGCGCTCAATGAGGCGCTGAGGCGTTCCCTTGTCCAAATCCTGTTCGTACCAATTGATGACGGGGAGATCGTCGCGCTCCAGTTCGGCGTCAGATAATGGGTGCATTGCTTTATCCATCCTTTCGTCGTCATCGAATATGGATCGCGAGCCCTTGATACGCTCCAGTACCGATGGGCTTGGTTCTACGTCGACATTGTGGCGTGCTTTTTCATCTTTGGTGGCTTTGGAGCGTTTTCCACGAAGAAACTGGGCTGGTAATGGACGGGCCAGTGGACACCTTCTAGGCTGCGGCCGCGAGAGGGCTCGAATCAACGCCCTTGAAGGAACATATGCTCGTGAAGGCGCCATGACTGTGACCAGTCTTGACTGGGATGACGATGTCAATCAGTGTCTTGGGGATTTTTGGGCATGGCTGCAAACAATGCAAACATTTTCTTGGCACCTCCGAGAACTCCGCAGACAGCGCTAGGCCTATTCGGGTCTCTCTCCTACATTCTATTCACAATTGTTCACTGCAACACTGTTTGAGGCTTTTTAGCGCCGTATCTTGGCCTTTTTATCAACAATCAAATCGTTTCTTTTTTTTTAATTCTATATGCTATTGGAATATAACTCGCATGAATATCTTGGGTCGTACCAGCCATCACTAAGGAGTCTTCCATACCTAACACCTGCCTCAATGAGATGCCTTTCTCCACTCGCTGATAAGACACTTCTCTTCCTAATCTCTACTGCAAAGTATAAAAGATGCTGTCAAAGCAACAATCAAAGCCACGGCCGATGATGTAGGCAGTTCACCCTTTACTAAAATCTTCTCAAACTGGTCTGCTTCAACTGTAGCGGGTGCCACATTCTTCTCACTGCTCGTGGTTGAGTAAACATTTGGTGGTTCGTGGCATTCCATACCGTTTGATACAGCCAAAATGGCGAGTATCGCCAGGAGGAAAGGAAGGTAGCGCATGATGAAGGGTGAGTTGGTTATGATAAACAAGGGTGATTGAGGCAAGGGTAGATGATGAATGCAGGAATACGGAAAAAGATGGAAACATAGATATAGAGATCTCTTGATACATTGTCGAGCTACCATGAGTAACTCTATAATTCAACTCCCGACATTTGTGATTCACAGAGTTGAAGCGTATAGTGACCTGTCTATGGTGAATTGTAACATTGTATACAGTGGCGGGCCCTGTGACGGTAGGACACTATGAACCTGCTGCTCTGTCGCGAAACAGTACACTCCATGCACAATTTGCCTTGAGTGAAAGATCGGTCAGGTTTACAGTCATGCAGCGAAAGCTCTCGTGCCCCATATTGCGATGGCTATGTCAGCACAGAGTAGCACTTGGAAATAGTATCTTGTTTGATAGCGATTGGAAAACTACCCACCCAATGACACAAAGATTTGCCATCGTTCTAAGTATGCGGGCCTTTGTAAGCCGAATAGTGTATGTCGTAAGTCACGCCATATGATGGCGCATTGGCCGCCCCTCTCTTATTTTGTGTTTCAAATTCCCGATGGCTTCAAAACCATAAGTAAAATACGTGGGCATACATTGAAACTTTTCGAAACATGCCCATACATACAGCTGGCTTGTGTGATGAGTTTCACGTGCCATTGGGCTTCGATACATCGCTCATCGTAGCGCACGTAGTGAGGGAGGTTGGTGGGGAGCACCTCTTCCGCTCACAAGGCCTGTTTCTTCGATTACATGACGCAGTATGACAAGGACTGCAAACAAGTGCTGACTGTACCGGACTTTCCCGCCTGCGTAGGCTGCACAATCCTAAGGCCTGGGTTTAAAGTTCTGATGGCTCCTCAGTCTTGCGCACACCCTAGCAGCTAGCATGTATGAAGCTTTCCCTTCGTACCCATGGACACTGTGCCGCAACCAACAGCCGAACTCGATCACCCAATGTACTACGAGCTCTCTTATATCTCCCGCTACCCTGTGGTTTGATTGAGACCATAATACGATCTCGCATGAAGACTACTGCGAGAAAAGGACTACATAGTTCACAGGCACACGATCAAGAGAGTAAAGTGCACTAACGACATAAGAATATTCTTAGTAAGATCATCGTGCTGCCCCTGCTCATCCATGGGCTACTGGATACTATTTTCAGTTCACGAGTATGTCATTACTGTATTTACATTCGAAGGTTGCATTTACTCTTGAGAGTGTATACGCGCCTCAGATGCTTTGCGGGCAACAGAATTGGAGAGCGACGCGTGCCGAACAAACTACACGATGAACATTATAGGTATTAGCAGGTAGTTTATTCTCCTGACGAGAAGGCGCAAGTATGAAGCGCCGTACTGCTAACTACTTGCACCAATCATGCCTCCTGATACCAGTACTAGTCCTTACAGAGTTTCTTCCCCGCTATTGAGCTTTGGACGTTGCAAGTTCCACTCTTGCTTGATCAATTACCCATGTACCTGAACGATCAGTATGCCAATCACATGCTTATGTACCCGGCTCACCCCTCACCTTTTCAAGCCAATTTTGTACTTGAAATAGCTTAGCAACATCTGTTTTTGTCGGACCTGCCTCTTCAGGCTTCACACTCTAAATTCGCATTCATGGAATCGACGTCATGCGATGATCTGCATATCGGATGGGTTACCACTCGGTGACAAGCTCCCGAGATCTTTGCAAGGATATACTCACGTGTGTTTTCAACGCTTGGCAATCCTGTGTGACGCGGATTAATACCACCAAGCAGAAAAGCGATAGTACGTTATGCGCAGGGGTGGATACAGTTATCGAATGCTCTAAATGAGCTCGATCCCGGAGAATAGCTCTCTTCAAGTATACTACACTAGCGCTTCCCCACCATCTTTTTGTCGATCCCTGCCCCGGCTATATTTTGCGGGTAAAGATTACGCCCGAACAGTCAGGAGTAGAAGTTTAAAATCTGGGTTCTCGATTTCAAGAGGCTGATTTGTGGTTTAATCTCGAGCTAGTTTGGTGTAATCGACCCTGCAATACACCACCCCTGGGTTATTGCAACGATGCGCTTTACTCGTGACCGCCTAAGATGCAGTCTTACGTTCCGTCAATGAGCTCCCAGCAAAGCGAAAAAACTATAAATATGGTGTGTTCTGGAATCTGCGCGGAGTTGCCATAGCGGATTGCATCACACATCTTCATAATGCGCCTTTTCACTGTCGCAGGTCTGAGCCTTTTGGCTTCAGTCGCGACCGCATCGCTGCAGATTGTACCAGGAGCCACGTGGACTGCAGTATGTTAATTTATCGGCACAGAGTCAACTTTGACTAAATTGTACCCAGACAAACATCGGCCAACATATCCAAGCTCATGGCGGGGGTATGATCAAAGATGGCGGAAAGTGGTATTGGTACGCCAAATGGTTTAACATCGTGCATACCCTGATCCGCGACTAACGGCTTCCAAGGGTTGGTGAAGACAAAACGAATGGCAGTGCTTTCCAGAACATCAACTGCTATTCATCGAGCAACCTTGTAGAATGGACTTATGAGGGCGCTATTCTTTCGCGCACCGCATCCGGCGACACGGGCCCCAACCGTGTCATCGAGCGACCAAAAGTAATCCACAACAAGAAAACCGGCAAATATCTGCTTTGGATGCACATCGACAGCTCGGATTACAAAGACGCGAAAATTGGTGTAGCGATTGGCGACACCGTTTGCGGAAAGTATACTTACCTGCGGAGTGAGAGACCACTTGGATTCGAGAGCCGAGACTCGGGCGTCTTTGTCGATGATGATGGAAAGGGCTATTTACTGACAGAGGATGTACGATACCCCCTTATGGCTTCTAGATATCTACATATTACTAACAAAGGTAGCGCGCAAACGGTCTTCGCATCAATGCCCTTTCGGACGACTATCTCAACGTCACAACAAACGTCTACAAATGGGCTGAAAAATACGAATCACCGGCTGTGATCAAGAGCAACGGAGTATACTTCATGTTCGCCTCTCAACTCACCGGCTGGAACCCCAACGACAACTACTACAGCACCGCAACCTCTCTTTCCGGCCCGTGGTCCGCATGGAAAAAGTTCGCAGACTCAGGATCCAACACGTACGCGTCTCAGACCACCTTTGTCCTTCCCGTCGGCAACAGCTTCATGTACATGGGCGACCGATGGCACAGCGAAAACCTCATGCGAAGCACATACATCTGGCTTCCACTGCAAATCTCCGGCACAACTGCCACCATGAAGAACGCGGTGAACTGGATTATCAATCCCAGCACTGGCGCCATGACTGCGGGGCCCACCGAAAACTCCTACGAGGGCGAATCCGCAACTCTGGCCGGCGGCGCACGCACAATCTCATGCTCTTCTTGCTCGGGTTCGCAATCAGCGGGGTACATTGGCGGTACATCATCTGGCGTTATCACGTTTGCTAATGCCCAGTCTTCGGCTACGACACGCACTACGCTTAGGATCAAGTATCTCAATGGTGATAGCACGCAGCGGTATGCGGATGTTACCGTCAATGGGAAGACGCAAAAGGTGGCGTTTGTTCCGCATGGTGGAGGCGATCCAGGTAGCTCGGTTGTGCATGTTGATTTGAACCAGGGCAGCAATCAGATTAAAATTGCAGGAAACAATGGAGGGTGGGGGCCTGATATTGATAGGGTGTTTGTGCCTGTCAATTAAGTAACGACATATGGTGCGGTACTCCACGAAAAAGATGCGTCTACGGAATAGAGTCAGGCTCGGGCTGAGGAAGTCAGAGATGTATATATAATTTAGCTGAGCCATAATTCTAACGAGATTTGGAGTCACATCTGCTCGTGAACATATTCACTGGTCATGTCTCTATTCTTTCTTCTTGGTTTTCGAAAACATTTGTACAGATTGATGGATATTTAACATGACGTGTATCTAATGGATATATTTGTTTACATGACGAGCAGGCCCGCACTCGTCTAAGCACTCATAACTGGGTATTATGCACGTGTAAAGGCATAGCAAAAGCGAAGAAAAAGATGTCTCAGCCGCAGAAATCGCTTATGCAGTGAAGCTCCTCGCCTTGACCGATCGCGCAGCAGCCTTGGCAGCCATTTTGGAAGTGACGAACTTGGCCGCCTCGTTCGCATTTGCGCCATACGACAGATGGGGTGGCAGAATGATAGCTTGACCCGCGCAGATAAGATCGCCAGGTGCACAGATAACCTTTGTGTTTGCAGCGGCGACTTTGCCGACGGCCTGGCCGTTGTCTGGGTCGCCGAAGATGACGGCGCTGGAGACAAAGGCAGAGTCGTCAGCGCTGAGCATGGCAGCTGCGTTGTGGACGAGTTGACCTCCCTGGCTTTGGGACTGTTAGTATACATCTCGATAATCTCATGAAACTATGAAAGACGAGAAGAAAGACTTACGAGTATCCTGCCATGACCAGTGTGGTGTCGGGGCACTTTGCCTTGACTTGTCCAACCATCTGCGCCATCAACTTGCTGCCACCTGCGTCACCGCCAACAAGAAAGCCAGGTACATCTGCTGGGTACTCGATACCCTGGACGGCTACGTCTCCGCCCATCATTGCGCCGACAGCACTGACGAAAGGCGGACCTGCGACGGTGCCCATGTTGCCGATCTCAGTAGTACCACGGGCGAAGAGAATGGTCATGGCTTTGCATGCACCTCCATTCTTGACGTCATTTTGGGTGGATGATATAAGAGCGGCCGATGCGGCTGCCGGGAGAAGAAATAGGGCTGACTTCATGTTGATATTCGTGTGTATTGGATGATTGATATCGTAGAGTGGAATATGTATATTAAATACTGAATAATATTCAATGGTTGAGGTAATTGAATAAGTGTTGCTCGCTAAGAAGAAGCTTAGATGAAAATGAGGCTCTGGTCTAATCTTCCACGGTCCATCCTCCCTTCTTATAAGATGGCCTGTTGCATCTACATTTGAAGCTGCCGAGGCAAAATGCGATATTCCAAGACTTTTCGACTCGTATTATACAAGCAGACATGTTTCCAGTTGCCGTCCAAGAACTCATCAAACGTCATGCCGCTCTTCAAATAGCCCAGTCGATAGCTGCCAGTCTGTTCTTGAGACATATTCTAAGAGCTCTTCCCTGTCGATTGAGGCTCCCTGGAACTATCCTCAGTCTGGAGCTGAGAGCGGTAGGACTACAGGTTGGCGGTTGTAGCGGCATCACTAGCGTGCTTTGCGGTATGTAATGCTGGAATATGGAGCGCCTTGTTTGTGTGATGTGTAGCATGGGTGGAGTAGGTAAAACAGGCAAAAGGTCAGCGGGCTCCACAAACTCGATCTCGTGTAGAACACGTGAGACCAATTGGCCAAATCTCATGGTCTTAGGGTCCAATTAACGCCGCCTCTAGCATGGCGGAATAGAGTATACTTGGACCAACTCTGGAAACTTCGCCAACCCTATATCAAGAAGACTTATCGGCTCCTAAGGAATCATTCAAGACTTTACGGCAGCATTGGCAACCTCGGCATGTGGCTAAAATAGTGCGCCACGCGACTGAGAGCTATCGCGGGGGTCGTTCAACAGTAGCGGTTTCAGCTAGTCGTTCCACGTTTTCAGCTTTCGGATCAGATTGCGTTTTACAACAGAGTATGTGTACACAGTCACTCAGGTTCACGGAAGCATCAGCTTCCGAGAGTGATCTGCTGGCCTTGTTGGCGTAGTGGGGACCGTGTTTTGGATCTGCGAGGCTTGGTGAGCTTGTTCAGGCGACAAGGCTGCGGGTACCGCTGGACACGCGATCTTGTGTAAGATTGATGGTTCAGAGACACCAAGGTTTCGAGACATTGAAGTTGGAGGTTAGATCTAGTCTCATCTCAGAGGGCGGGTGAGCTGTGGTGCGATGCGGTGCGAAGCGATGCAATGATGTAATCGTACGCGGCTGTTGATGAAGACAGAATAACAAACAGCCAAACACATCCACATTCATTGGATCTTCCAGATAGCTTACAAAGGAAAGAAAAAGGTCGCATGTTTCCACGAAGGTTTTGGTATACATGCCTACGGGATATCGGCAATGATAGAAAGGCAAAAGGGCGTAATCGCCCGCTTTGGCTTCGGAGTAGAGGGCACCGTTTTATGCGCTAGTAGTGAGGAGAGGTCTAGCCTAAATAAGCAGGCATCCATCCCTTTCATACATTCCCTGATGAAGCCCAGTCAACACAGCTTTCTGGCACTTGAAAAGTAGCCTGCCATAGTCCGATAGCTTCTACATCAGTCTTCCCTAGTTCTCTTCCTGGTTCAGTACTCTCTTCTTCGGTTTCTATTCCGATATTGCCAATCTCAGCCAATCTGGCCTTGTAATTGATGAAATCTCTCAGAATGAGCACCACTCCCCTATCCGTCTCTCGTCTCTCATAGATCATACTTTCTATGTGCGTGGTTTGCTTGTCGTCCCGATGTTTCAGCATCTTCACCAACCCATAGCCATTTGCATTCTGCCAAAACTCGTATACGCATCCACCAGAGAAGATGCGGCTCATTGAGGATGAGTACAAGGCAGTTGTTTCATGAAAAATGCGGGGTTTTTGAGAGTTGCTGCCGTATTCTGAGAGGAATATTGGTATGGGGGTGCCGCTGAATCTGTGAAGCTACACCATGGAGTTAGACGGTGTGAACAATGTCAGGATAATCAAGGCCTACCAAATCATCATAAACGGGTTTAGTCACATTTGAAAGCTCCTTTAAGTCATAGCTTTTACACTGCGGTATGCATTAGTGCCTAAGATCCCTTTAACTCGTAAAATAACACTCACCGTCCAGAAATCAATCGAGGTCAGATCCTCTCCGGCAGTCAGATACTCCAGCACTTCCTGGTCCCTTTCACTGCTCGTGGCCGCATTGTATCCGATAGGGAGCATGCGTTGCCCACGAGCTTTGTTTTGGATTTTCATGTGCTTCTTCAGATCTCGCACGACGGCTTTGAGAACAGCTGCTGCGGGCAGCGTAACATCATTGTTGCTCACTTCGTTGCCAGCCAGAATGCCCAGCGTATTCGGAAAGCTAGCCATTATGTTTACTGTCTTGAATAATGATGCCATGGTGACGGGGTTGTAGGACTTGATTGGAGCCAGACGGCTAATGGAATTCGATGGTGTTGAGACAGCCTTAATGGAAGCATATATAGTCAGTTCAATATGCATGTAGCGAAATAAAAAGATTATGCATACGGTGAGAACGTATATCCCTGCTTCTTCAAGTAGTTTCATGGCCTGGGCATGGTCTTTTGTATTGTCAATGAAATCTTAACATACAAGTCAGCTTCGTTACTATTCTAGTTGCCGGTGCGCCTACAAACAAAGAGTGTGTTTAGCCCGAGCTCCTTGAAGAGGAGAATATCTTCTCGGAGTTCCGCTAAGCGATCGTCCGAGATGGGGTCAAGTGTAGAACGCACTTGGTATGCAACGCCTCTTACGAAAAACTTTACCCTTAATATTAGATTTAGTGACATCGAGCGTCAACGAGGCGAAACTTACTCGATCATCACCCTTCCAGAAGAAACGCCCACAAATGCGTACAGGAGGACAGGCGATACTGGCGCTCATGTTCAACAGATATACGACGGGTTAGCTAAACCAAAGTTGATTGATCAGAGTGATTGAAGGCGGAATTACCCAATGATCCAAAAGATAGATGGGTGAGAATAAGGCATGAGACCCAGTGGTTTATGGATGTAAAGGGGATGCGAAAAGCTGCTTACTGTGCACTAGGCGTTGTTTCCCTATGATGTCATGAATACTTCTATTCGCATGCCATATCTTTCGTGCGTGCCTCAGAACCCAAACCAATCTCGAGCTATGCCTCGTCTACATTATATAACGCCAGATCGGCAAACCAAGCCGCTCATGTACCACGCATCTTGAACATTAGAGTAAACTTTTCTCTCAATACATAGTACAGTTGATGACTTTAAACTTGCTCACTTCCTTCGAATGAATTCGGATATTTCTTCCGCGTCTCTAACCCTATAATCGCTTAAATAACTCTAAACTGTAGATTTTAATGATAAACTAGGGTTATACAAGAGTTCTGCAAGTTCGCTTGCACCTCGCACTAAAAAGATACCCCTTGGCCGCTAATTCCGCATCAGGTGTTGGATACTCGGAGCCTCTTAACCCGCTCGTCGCTGCCTGGCACATGACTCATGTGCTTGCGCCCTTTGAACGTGGGTCAAATCCCGTGACGACAGCCTTATTAACGCCTCACACCCAAGCATCTGTATTAAGAAATTTCGATTTCCTATCCATCAAACTACAGCGTAGTCCGCTCAAATATTCCAATATGCCACTAGAAGTCCATCGCATCACGTCGCCAGACGACTTGGAAACTTTCGCAAGAATCCAGATTCTTGCCTTCGCAAGTGGGGGCGGCATAGCCTCTTTGCTCAGTCACGGACCCATGACCGAGGAACACGTCAAGAAATATACAGAGAGGCATGTCAAATCCTGGCGCGATGAGAAAGATGTTTTCTATCTCAAAGTGGTGGATACGGATGTCGACGGCGGCAAGATGATTGCTGGTGCAAAGTGGCGCATCTCCGAGAAAGAGAAGACGGAAGAGGAGGCGCAAAAGATGTACCCGACTCCTGAAGGAGACGATCTGAACAACCAGGCGCTAGTAGATTTCATGGCCTTTTTGAATAGGGCAAGGAAACAATATGTGAATACCAAACCTATTTGCTGTAAGTCGGCATCCATCGCAAGTCCAAGAGAAACTACGTACGCTAATCCCAATCAGTCCTACAAATCCTGGTAACAGATCCGGAGCATCACCGCAAAGGCGCAGGGTCTATGTTGCTGAAATGGGGTCTCAGCAAAGCTGACGAACTCGGTCTTCCGGGTTTCTTGGAGGCGTCGCCTATGGGTAAGCCACTGTATGAGAGGATGGGGTTTAGGACTCAGGAAACTATGGTATTTGACTTGACGAAGTACGGAGCGGAGGGTGAGGACACAAACACGATTATGATCAGGGAACCATCACCAACCAAGGCGTAAGATGATAATGCGGAGGATACTATGAGTTATTTGCCAGAGCCTCTGTCACACTGGCGAGTGATTAAAAATCCTCTATAATGAAATACACATTCAAAACGGAGACTCATTACTACGATGGCTGTTACTCATCAGACGATGATTACCTGACACGCACAGCCACGTGTCTCTCCCGTAGTTTCCCAAGCCTCCTGGCAAACTCCAATTTCGCATCTCTTTGACCAGGCATCGTCCAGTCCGCCAATTTCTCTAACTGCATCTCAGACAGCTCACTCATAGTCTCCAGCACACTAAAGAACCGCTCCACCGTCTCCTTACTCTCCTCATAGTGTTGTTCAACCAGCACAGGCCGTATCACAACAAGAGATCTAATCTCCGCCGCTGCCTTTCCCGCCAAAGAGAAAAAAACAACAGCACTGTGTATGCCGAAAAACCTGAGCTGAAACGTTGCGCACAGGTAGGAAAGCGTTTCAGCGCGGATCTGGCGACACGTGCGAAAGATGGGGAGATGAAGTATCGTTGCGCCAAAATGTTCGGGCTTGTTACAGTTTACTAAGAGGATGGAGCCCATGTTGGGGTAGATGGTGTAGGCATAGATTTGGTTGCGCAGCTCGCCTGGTAGATGGAGGAATGTGGCGCGGGCCGCTCTAGTAGGCTTCAGTGCGATTAGCAAATCTGCGCGCGTCAACACTTGGTGCAACGAACGTTTTGAGACCCTGGTCTTTCTTCTTTGCGTTTGGTTTGAAGCCATTTCTTGATTTTCATTTTGGCTGAATTGCGGTGGAATGGGCCTGGTGTTGCTGTCGTTATAAAGGGTGCTATTGGTGGGCGCTTTGCCTGATTAGGACAGTTGCCTTGATCATCACCCAAGGTTTAGTAGTGGGAAGTGATTCAGGGTCTCATCGATGATAACTTTGTCACACCCTTCTTCATACAATCGAGCTTTGGCGATGTTTGCGAAATTGAGGGCTCATGTTCTACATTCATCTTGCAGCCTTCCCTGTCCTGATGTCCCACGTTGACTTGCGATATCTTAGGCTCGGCTCGTAAGTTACGTTGCATCTTGCATGTATTCGCAGCATCTGAGCTCACAGACATGTGGTCACGTTTAACCAAAACAAAACGCTGTATTAAGAAAAATCTATGTACATCAGAGAGTTACTAATACTCATTCATCCTCATCCTCCTTTTTCCGCTGACGATTAAGCTCATCAATTACCTTCTTACCACATGCCAATACCTCCATCGTCCGACTTTTGTTGTCATGATCCCTCGTCTCAGGAACCAAGAAGTAAGTTGTCACTGCTCCAGCAAGCATGAACGCACTCATGACCTGCAGAACGTGTCCGAAATCCCGACGTTCCTCCCATTTGAGGTTGCCTCCGCCGCCGTCTTTGCCAGTTTGGAAGGCGTACGCGATGAAAATCTGCACAACCCATGATCCCAGCTTTCCAGCTGCTGCAGCTATGCCGTGACAAGTACATCTGTATCTTGTCGGGAATATCTCGGCAGGGATTATGAACGTGGTTACGTTTGGTCCGAGGTTGAAGGCAATGTGACTCAGCACATAGAGAATGATGAGTCCGGATCGGCTGTTGTCCAACAGCGTTGTCCATGCACTTCCAGTCACGATGAAGAGTACGAAAAGTACTACGAAGCCCCAGAACTGGATGACTTTTGGCGAGACGTACTTGACGATCTTGATCATCAAAAGGCCGCCGACGACTGTGCCGATGGAGACCATGACTAAAGTGTGTTTGCTGTTGCCGCTCAGGGTCGCATATACCGACTGCTTTCTATCGGGATTCTCTTCCCATATATGGCTGACGATTTTCGGCGATGAGAGTCCCAATCCGTAAACTGGCACAACGTTAGTGGTGGTTCAAATGCGCTATTTCGGCCCACTTACATGCAAAGTCAAGGAAAAGCCAGGCCAAAGATGTCCCCAAGAGGTAATGCCAGTTCTTCTCTGTGATGAAGAAGTTTCTAGCGTCTGCCCACGAAGCGAGTGGAGGAACGAAGTCAGGGTCACCAGGTAATGGCTGTGCCGACTGAGGCTCATGCGGACGGTTCCCTTCGTTGCTGTTACGGTGCTCAGATTCGTCATCGCTGTAGACGATCTCATCAGGCGGTATACCCGAGGAGGTAGATGAACGCCGTGACATTGGCCTGGCTGGAGCTGAATGTTGCACAATGTTCCGCATCTCGGCATCACCATTCTCTGGGTTTATCTCTGGCGCGCCAAAATAGTTTGCGGTATCTTCAAGAGTTTCCTTCGTATTCTGCAATATGTCCAGTGTGTACCTTGGACTTTCGGGGATCGTGAACCGGAAGGCAAGAGCAATGGTCGCTGGTATAACACCGATGCCTATTACCAACCTCCAAAGTCGATCGATTGCGCGGAAGCATTCCAAGTCTTCATCCCGGCATGCTGGTAGTTCTTTCTCAATCCACGGTTTGTATGCTTCCACTGCTGCTAACGATAAGACATTGGCGAGCAACTGTCCTACAGGTTGAGCGAAGAAGACCCAGCTCAACATACGCGCGCGGTGTTTTCGAGGTGCAAACTCAGCAGTGATAACCTAGATTCACAATTAATACATGTTCGTCCAGAAGAAAAGACAGTACTATACCGCACTTAATGGATAGTCGGCACCAATGCCAACCCCTACCTGGTGTCAGTGTACTCTATTTTGCGTCAACAAGGTGTCTGCGTACCCATGATTGCCCGCCAGGTGATCAACCACCCTCCAATTGCCATACTGTTTTTCTCGCCGTTGGAGCTCATCAATAGCAGCATGGTGCCGACTATGATAATCACCAACTCGAGTCCGTACATTTTGCGTCTTCCAAGAAAGTCTGCGGCGATGCCGAATCCTATCTGTCCGAGCATCGTAGCAGCAAGTGTTGAACACATCATGGCAGTCTTGACTTCTGACGGTACATTTGGCATACCATTGTCGAGGTTACGCGGCCAGTACACATAGCCCAGCATTGGGGTAACAACATTCAGGGCGAACAGGCCGAATGCGTCGGTCAAGAAGCCTATGCCCGCGACTACAACCACCCAGATCTGAAAGGGCGCGGCATCGATCGTGGCCAGTGTCCATCGCCGCCGCCTTATTTCCTTACAGAAACGTCAGTCAAATGAATGAGATGACTCGACTTGATACCAAGACTTACAGGAACACCACTGCCTCCAGCTGTGAGGTCCTCTACACCGATTTGATGACCTTTGATTGGTCGCGTAATCCAATTGCGAAGACCCATGGTCACGTGGAGATGATCTCCAACAAGATGGTCTCACTATTCAAGTATGTCAGATAAAGAAAAGATCAGTTGTATGTTGCATCTGCAGCAAGTTCGGCTCATGACTGCCTTAATCATATCGCAGATGAGCAAAGCCTCAGCCACATTTACAGAGCATGCCGCACACAAATGACTAGATGTGTGCACTGCCCCATTTAACAAGGCAGACCGGTCAACGGAAAGATAGCTTACGTGGACCGACACTGCTCTCTCAGTTGCTACACTGGCGAGCAACCCGTTCCCGCTCGCCGAAGTCAGACTTGGTGGCGCTCATGGCTGTATCGAATCACGCTTAAGTCTGGATTGAGATGGCTAGGGTTCAGCGGTCACCACGAATGGAAAGGTGTATCGTTGCCTGCATTGCCTTCGCACTCGACACGGAGGCACCTCCAGCAGTGTTGGATTGGTGGAGCTCAGGGCAAAGGGGCCATCGAGATACGACTATTCCGCAAACCAGTCTCATGGAACTAGAACCCAGCGCATGCATTTTCGTGGGAAAACCACGCTGTTCCGGGTAATGAGGCGCGAGGTTGGGATGGTCGACGATAGCCGTTCGCTTCCCCACGTGTTGTTGTTCGACGTCTCATTGCACGTTGGGCGTCCAGTCTTGGTAGCGCCACATGTATCAACACGACCTCCTCTGTCCTCTGACCAACTCACGATGGGCAATCTTGTCGTCCCGTCTTGCAAGGCTTCGACAAGCGTGTGCCTGGCGCAATCGGTCGGCAATCAATATGCTGAGCCACCCCCATATGCCGCAACGGCCTCGCTTTGGGACAGCCTGAACCCGCGCGTGCTCACAAGACGGGCGCAAGCTCAGGCGACACTGCCTACAATACTGTCACCCTCTTCTGAGAGCCTTGCGCTTCCTCTACGTTGCACTCTACTGAATACGAAAAGTTCCCTGTGCATGAGCAAACCCTACACTGTTAGTGTTGCGCCCCAGCGCGGCGCAAGACGACCACCATGTCTTTCGGATGCAGCCCATCAGATGTGTTGAAACTACTCGAGTTCTCCACCCGGGTATACCTTGCTTTCAGAGGTACGTCGCTTACCAAAATCGCATGACAAAGCTCGGGACACTGACCTATGCTTAGATGCCAACGAGAATTCGGAAGCACAAGTGGCAGGCCTGGTGAAGGAGTTCACTGCCTTTCACACCTGCTTGGTCGAGTTGGGTGAGTTGATGAAGCAGTATGGCCAGCCCATGCCTTTTCCCGTCAAGGAATTTGAGGCAACACTCAAGAGATGTGAAAAGACGCTCGACCCATATGCAGATCATCTGGTCGACAAGAAGATGGGCGTAAAGAAGTTCATCTTCACCATCAGATACATGGGCATGGAGAAAGAGATAGACGGACTGAGGAAGCAGATCACTGGCCACTACCAAGCCTTACACATGTGCATATCATTTCTACAACTGTAGGTTTCGGCATAATCCTCAGGATAGCATCTCAAGACTAATACTTCACAGTCGCTTACATCTCGAGGCAACCAAGCAAACTCAACGTCTTCTCGACGCCGCACCACCACGCACTGTAACCCTGGGAGGCCGTGCTTACTCAACCAGTGCACTGGGATTTTCATCCCAACATGCACCTCTATCGCTGCCTGCACCAGACGAGCATCCACTTTTCAGCGAGTGGGTGATCTTTGATCGTTGGTTGCAGAGCGAGGATGAGCGCATCGCTAGAGAAGCAGAGCACTCTCGCCCCCTGTCATTAGGCGATACACCTGCTGCTCTACCAAGCGACGATGATCAGACTGCTGCTATACTATACCATCTCCGTCGGCAAGTTGACGATGCCATCCTGATTGAGGAAAACCGCACAAAACGCATGACTGCTGAGAAGCGATCGCATCTTTCGCCAAGCGACGCCATACGACAGGAGGTTCGCAACATGCCGCCAGCGCCTCCACGTACGTACACTCTGGATACCGATCACTCTGGGAATTTTACGGGTTTTTTCCAGCATCAGATGCGCAGTTCTTCAGAAACTGCTGGGCCAAGTTTGAGCATCCCGTTGTCGCATTCGCCTCCAGCTATCAGCCCGCGTGGAGATTCATACTTTGGCTCCATAGACTGGGCTCAGTCTCCCACAGATACATCGGTCTCTCACGATATAGGCCGCACGACATCTGTTTCTACCAACAGGAGCAGCATGAGCCATTCTCCAGGATCGCAGCCACGCTCCCCGAGTGCCGACTTGAGCCCTGGGGGAACTATTCCAGAGACGCTAGCATCGTACAGTCTGCGCCGTAGTCTATCTCGCACATCCCTAGCAACCATGGCTCTAGGCGAAGCCGCACTCGACTGGAAGCGAATCTGCCGCTCTGTCGAAGTCGAGCGTAAATCCGTCAAATACGGAGCCGAAAGCCGCGACTGCGACGTCCGATGGCGATACCGCGAAGACACTGGAATATCAATCCGCGCCGTATACCACTCCAGCCAAGACGGCAAGCTTCGTACATGGATCGAACAGCACTTTCCCGCCACGGGCCCATCAATCCCACTCACAACCACCTACCCCGACGGCGCCGTCTCCATCGACTTCCCACGCAACTCGTTTGGCAAACTCGACAAGCAATACACCGACATCAAATACACCTTCTCTGCCTCCGACTCCGCCGAGAAATTCCAAACCCTGCTCTACACCAACAACAACGCCGACGCCGCAGACCTCAAGTTCGACCGTCCCATCTTGACCATCTCCTCCGACAAGAACCCCACCGAGTGCCGCGGCCGCAACCTCCGCCTATGGCGCCGCACAGAAACGCATCTGGAAGATGACGGGCTCGTAACTTTCGACGTACTCGTGCTACTATTCTACACGAGCGCGCTGGAGGAAAAGGGGCACTGGGTCGAGGAACCGCACTACGCATTCGAGTGGCTCACAGACGCCGTCTTCAAAAAAGAAAGCGAAAAACTAACCCTCTACTTTTCAAAAGACGCATCGCGCTGGAAGTCGGATAAGTTGTTTCAGCGCCGCAAGTCCTCTGGCGCTACTAGCACCACTATTGCTGCCCCCAAGAGTCCCGCATCACCTTCCTCCTCTTCTTCTTTTTTTTCACCGCGAAAACGCAACGATTCGATGGAGATTCCGCAGTTAACGCGGTCCGCTACGAAGGCGTCTGTTGCTTCGAATGAGTCGTTCAAGACTGCGCTTACGAGCGCGGCGCATCCGGGCCGCTTGGGCAACTTGAATCGCTTTGGGTATTCGGAGTTGGAAATCAAGTTTCAGAGTAAAAAGGATCGGAGGGCGTTTTTGGACGTCTGGGCGGAGTTTTTCAAGCCGTTGAGGTGACGAAGTCGTGGGTTTGTTACAAGGGGCGTTGAGGGTGTTGAAAAGAAAATATGTAGAATATTCTAGTAATTACTCTTGACACATAACTTTTTTGCCTCTTTCTACACAATGTGTGATTTACTCTTTCGTGTTTGATTGGAAACGGAGAACAAGAAGGGGATCTCGCGAACTCGGTCTATTTACTACACAAACGGATATATCTTACATATACACAGCATCCCTCCCTCCCCCCCCCCACAAACCCCCTTCTTCAAGAAGAAAAAGAAGAAAACACCAAGTCTAACTTCTCCGCTCAACGGAAAAGAAGAAGAAAAAGGAGATGGGCGCATAAACAGCCCTGTGTATCAACCCAACAATGACAAAGAGGAAGAAGAAAAAATAGCGAGCGTGAGCCAGCCAGCCAGCCAGCCAGCCAGCAAGTCAGCAAACCCAAAAATCAACGACACATCTTTCCCCCCACCTTCCCAAACTCCTCAACAAACTCAATCCTATCCTTCTCATCATAATCAATCCTAACCTGCTGATTACTCTGCACAGACGGATCGCCATCCTCGAGGTAATTCAGGGGCTCAAGCCGCATGGCCGAATGCGCTGAACTGAACATTGTGACAGGAAGGTCATTAGTCCCCGGTATATGATGCATACCTAGGTTAAACCAAATTGTGCTATTGGTTAAAGGTTGGGTTAGCGATTTGGTGGTGGTGGTGAAGGAGGGAGGGAGGGGGGAAACATACATATCTTCCTGATTCAAGCTTTCATCGTTGAAAAAGGTCGAGAAATCTACGAGTGGGTCGTCTCTTTGGTACTGGTTTAGGCTGTCTGCGGCGCGGGGTTCCGTGTCTTTTTGCTGGGTGATGTAGAGGTCGTGGGTTACAAAGGCACCCGCCTTACCGGTGTTTGTGGAGTTTGTCTGCGTGAGGTGGACGGCGCCGGCTGCTCGCTTGATTCGGTAGCCGGGGTACTCGCCGAAGCGGTTGGGGGTGTCTTTGTTGACGACGGCGTACATGGTGTTGTCGTTTTCGGCCCAGTTGATTTTCGAGTGCGATTCGTTGTCGATGAAGGAGCGGTGGGCTTTGAAGGTGTTGTACTTGCGGCCAGTGCTCCAGGGGTAGTCGGTGGTGATGGGTTTGAAAGTCACTTTCTGGACGCTGTTTTTGCGGCCGTTGATGTCGAAGTCGGCTTTGAAGGTGAGTGTATGGTCGTGCATGCTGCCGGAGAGGAAGTCGTGGATGTGGAAGCCGTAGTCGGGCTCGTTTTCCCAGTATGTGGAGGAGATGTAGCCGGAGAAGCGCGAGGAGACTTCGATGGCGCCGTCGTAGAAGAAGGTGTAGTCGATCAGGAAATCGTAGTTGCCGACGGTGGCTACAGTCCGCATTGTGAATTGGATGTTCTTCGCGACACTGGTGTGAGGTGTGTATTGACCAAAGGAATGGCGGCGAATAGGATATCCTGGGTCGAACTCGAAAATGCAAATAGCATTTTCAAGGGTCTTTGTGCTATTTCCCTCATTAAATGTTGCAGGCAGATATGTAGCATAGCTTGGACAATCATAACCCTTGATGAGGGGCGTCAGCTCGGCTCCCATACCACTTGTAGTATCGTAGAAGGTTGCTTGGGATGCAAAAGGATCTGAGCCCGAGTAGGCTGTCAACGCTTCCTGGAGAGAAAGCTCGTATAAGATGCGCTTTCCTTTGTATTTGATGTCAAAGAGTGACAATCCCCGATCATGAGCGACGTTATGGTAGAAGCTAAAGTCCATCCAGGAAATATAGTTCTCATCGGCATCGATGCGAAACCTTTGGGCTCCTTGTGCGATAGATGTGGGAGGCGGCTGCTCATCCAATGGAAGTGGAGGACCATTCTTGTCAGTGGAAGACCATTTGCCCGCCACATTTGGCGAGGGCTTTTTGTACTTTGGAGAGTGGATCGCCTTCCGGAACTCTTCGGTAGAGGAATAGAATTTCCCAAATGAGTACCAACCGGCGACGTTCCAATCATTCCAATCTCGTGAAGATAGATCGAACTTGATATAGAATCCAAGTGGTGCGACTGTAACGCTGCTAAGTTCCTTGGTGGGGATACCATAGGTCGTAGCCCAGGAAATGATACGGCCATCGTCGTCTTTGAATAGAGCGCCAAAACGCAGACCGACAAGTCCACTCAAGAATGTCTGGTCCAACATTAGCCATTGCTCAGGCATGGTTTTGACGAGACATTGCTTACCGTGTTGAACAAGCGCTGTGAGATATCCTCATGTTCAGTTGCAAACTTTGTGAGGAATTGTGTCCCTTCATTTGTGCTAAAATATAAGGGATGTATATTTGTTTTTCCCGTGTGAGTATTTTGAAACGGAAAGGTGAGCGGCTTGATCGTCGTTGCATATGTAGCTGGCAGAGGGCCAACCATGTACTCTTGCCAGAACATGTCAGTTGTATTGGTAGCACCACTCTGAACTGTAGCGCGTGCATATCTTGCTGGGGGCTTTCCGTATCCGTCCAGGTATTTGGCTGTTTCGGTTTTGTTGGGCTCCAAAAGAGTGACTCGTACACTGAGGGCTGCTCAGTATGGTATTCATGTTTGTAGTTGTTCAACTTACACATAACTATCTTGACTAGATCCTTGGTTGCCATTCAACTTCAATTTTTCTTGCAAGATGTCATTGGCACTTGCCGTCTCCTCCTTGGACAGTGATCTCCATGGGTTGGTGACCGGTGCGTTCAAGGTAGGCTGTCGAGGTGGAGTGCAGGCCTGCTGCGCTGCGGTTGATGAAACAAGGGCAGCTGCGCCTAGTATGATGGTAGACGTCCACATGATAATTTGAGGATAGAGAAAGATGTGTTGAGGAATCCTCATCGTGGGGACTTATGCATGTTATATGTGATTCTGTTCTTCAGGCGATTCTAGTAGTGCACTATGACTCGGGTAGTTGTGCTGTCCTTACCTCCTGCGCATACCCAAGAACGATCTGACTTTTTCGTAGTTGAACGTCTCGGCTCAAAGGGTGTACCCTGCATAACGCTATTGTTGTGTTGTTTTTCTTGCGCGGCGAATACAACAGGAAGCGATCGACGGGTCAACGCCTTGTCGAGCTGAGTCGTAAGAATTAACTTCAGTGTCGGAACAACAATAAGCGTGGATCTTCACTCTAATGATGCTACCTCGTTAAATTGAAATTGTGTGGCTTGACAAGCTGAATGTCTACTATATTAAGAAGGTATCCGATGCCATCCGGCTATGTGCAGATAGCTGGTCAGTTGATGGGTGTCTGATTCAGACCGTGCCTGCCGCCGTACTTTTGTCGAGCTCGGGGCGGATTTTTCACCGCCGAAATCAGTGTGCAACAAAGAACGTGCCAGTAGCAAGAATTGCCGGGCATGTCAGCGGCCCAAGAACAGGTAGTACGACATTCATTGGTGTGTCATGTTGACCATGTTCGATATTACAGTTTTAGCTTAAGTCAACACACACACACATAGTCTACTGCGGTGAATCTTTCATTTCAACCGACCTGACTTCGTCCTGTTACATTTTAGTAAATAGCAAAAGTTGATACAACACACTCTATTCAACTGTCGCGACATTGTTTTCAACGTTTTACTTCACGATGACCGTTTTTCCTCGCTGCTATTCTACTAGCCTATCGTCTGTACTTGGGCTAGTTTTTGTTCTTTGTTAGGCTGAACCTCGTGCAATGGAATACTCAAGAGGATCTAAGATCTCTAGAAGATGAGTTCATCCTTTGCAGTATTCCTTGATTGTATTGTCTCTTCGTTTCTGCATAGCCGTTTACTACTCTCTGCAATGACTGTTGACAAGACCAACAGTTTTGACTGCACGCCCTTCCAAAGACCATACTTAAAAGCAATCTTGTACAAACGGCGTAGAAAAAGAAGTCGCCGAGACTCTAGCAAAAAGTCCGACGATGGATTCACGGAGGCGTTTGTTAAACACATCAATGCTTCATGCAGGTTTGACTGTGCGTTGGAATAGTAGGGACGATTTGTGGCTTTGGCCATCACAAAGCATGATTGAAAGGCAGAAAAATTGATTCAATACTGAATGCAGACTAAAACACAGATGCAACATGATTTGATACTACTCTGCCATTGGCAAAGAAATCAGAGTCTGAACAGAGACGCTCGTACTGGGAATGCACTCTGATACAAATGACAACTGTCTTCACTTGTATCTACTAAGCAATCTGGGGCATCGGATACCCGCGATTGTGCCGGTGTTTGGGGATTGGGCTATGCCGAATACGCCGGGGTGCAATCTGAACATCTCTTCCCAAGTACTTGAGTTGATCTGCCCACAAGGCAAGCTCAATCATGTCTGGGAACGCTCTGTAAAGTTTTCGCACATATCGGGAAAGACGTTCTATTTCTTGAGCCAGATAATACGGGTCCTCGCTTTCTGTGTCCAAACCCAACTGGTAGTGGTAGTGTGTGTTGTGGAATGCTTCGAGTATCGAGTGTACAATGCGAGGTGAGGCCATACGCGGAAGAGGCATGGCGGATGGGGTGGTGGAGATGTGGTCCGGCACACGCGACTGCGCTAACCCGTTTTGGATTCAATTAACGCGTCGCGTCGCGCCTTCTTCAGCTAAGGCTGATGTCTCATGAGCTCCTTCCATTACCACCCCTCACACCTCGCACCTCCCACACCACACACCACGCCCACTGCGCCTTCTGTCAAGAACACACCATGGCTTCTACTGTTCTTGGAAAGAGGACTCGCAGCTCGGCTCGTGTCGACGCTTCCGGTATGAGCAATCAGTGCCCGACAGCCCTTTCTCATTCAACACGTCCCTAACGCGCTATACAGATGAAAAATTGAACGTCGCAACACGGTCGAAGCGGAGGACGCAGTTTGTCATTCACGATGAGGGCGAGATTGAGAACCCATTCGTCACTCCCAAAAAGCAAAATGCCCGGACCGAGGATGCAATGGATGTGGATGAGCCCGAAGAGAAACCCTCCACAAGGCGCGGAAGGAAGACTGGGGCGACACCTGCCAAAAAAATCGACCCATGTTCGCGGTTTCCCCTGTCATCCGCCAAAGAAAACTCTCCCCAAAAATCGCTGGTCGATATACCCGACAAGTTTGCACCTACTCCCTCAACTCCGAGACATCGCGACGCGCTTGCTGCCAAAGTTGCTGTCACACCACGACATCGACTCATTATTCCCGGCCGACCACTGACACCCCGCACACCACACACCCCAGGAACCCCGAGATATACTGCCCCCACCGTCTACAACGAAGCGCGACAAGTATTTGCCAGGGGATCAGCGCCCGCGGTACTCTTTGGACGTGAAAATGAAAAGAAAGAACTCCAAACGTTCATCACCGCCCGCACAAAGGGCCGCAAGTCTGGATGTATCTACGTCTCGGGGCCTCCGGGTACTGGAAAGAGCGCATTTGTCAACGATGTCTGCCGCACAGTTTCAGACGATGATTCTGTCCAAACCGGATACATCAATTGCATGAGCGTGAAGAATGCTCGTGATCTCTACAGGACGCTATTGGAGGAGTTTGTCGACATTACCGAGATTGTCGAGGGCGAGGAGATGGAGGCACTTAGGAACGTTTTCATGCAGCGCGAATCTTCCTACGTTGTTACCCTGGACGAAGTGGACCACCTCTTGGAGCTGGACATTGATCTTTTCTACAACATCTTCGAATGGTCGTTACAAAAGTCTTCCAGTCTGATTCTTGTCGGTATTGCCAACGCCCTCGACCTTACAGATCGATTCCTCCCACGACTCAAGGCCCGCGGTCTCAAGCCACAGCTCCTGCCATTCCTTCCATACAACGCAGCGCAAATATCCTCGGTCATCACCTCAAAACTCAAAGCACTTCTCCCAGCAGGAAGCACTAGTCAACTACCATTCCTCCACCCCACCGCCATCATGTTCCTCTCCAAAAAAGTTGCTGCCCAATCTGGCGACCTCCGCAAAGCCTTTGACATCTGCCGCCGAGCAATCGACCTCATCGAAGCCGACACCCGCGACCAACACGCAAAGAAAGCCACAGAAATCACGCCTTCTCCCACACCCTCCCCTTCAAAGGCTCCCCTGGTAGAAAACGACAACCTCGCCTCCCTCACCACCACTCGCTCCCCCTCAAAAACCAAAGACCTCAGCGCCGCCATCGCCGCCTCCCTCGCTTCTCTGACAGTCGAAACCGCACCCCGCGCCACCATAGCCCACATGGCCAAAATCACCGCCGCAGTCTTCAGCAACGGTACAAGCCAACGCCTGCGAAACCTAAATCTGCAACAAAAAGCCGTCCTCTGCTCTCTCTCCGCCATCGAAAAACACCGCCGCGCAACAGCCGCAGATACAGTTCTATCAACTCCATCCCGCTCTCACACTACTTCTCCCACTATCAAAGACCTCTTCGAAGCCTACACCGCACTTTGCAAGCGCGAAAACATTCTCCACCCGCTCAGCAGCACAGAGTTCCGCGATATCGTAGCCAGTCTCGAGTCTCTATCGCTTATCTCCGCGGTAGACGGCAAGGCAGGATCCCTCGACATCTTCTGTGCCGGCACCCCGAGTCGGCGCGGAAGAGGCAAGGCGTTCCCCGGTGTGGTCGTCGAAGAGCGCAGAGTCGCAAGTGTAGTTGGCGAAAAAGAACTCGCAGAGTCCCTTGTGGGGCCTGGTGCTGCTATCCTAAGGGGCATTTTGGACGCTGAGGCTTGAGTGATACGTATGGAGTTATGCCATGCCTGCTTTTTTTTTCTTGTTGTTTTCACCGAGCGATAAGAGTTGCGATATGCGTCATGCGACACGTTTATCCTACCCCTTCTCTTACCTTTCCTGTTTGAAGTAATTGGGGGGAGTTTAGAAATATGCTTGTTCATGAGCAAAAAGAGCGGTTTGGGTATTGTACTGACGCTGGTTTTTGGATTAATGCTGTTTGTCTGTTTTTTGTGTGTATCATAGCGAACGAGCGAAGAAAGCGATTTGAAGCATTTTTGGTTAGCGAGGCATATATGGATTGGTGTTTGGTTTGCATTGTTCGAAACTCGATGGGTATCGAGGGTAGTTTAGTTCTAGTTTACATCAAATCAAAAACAGTCAAAACAAGAAAACAGAGTGTATGTGCAAGTGGTATCGTTTCACTCGGCAATCTATCAATCCATCTATCACGAATTCTAAACTTTTACTACTCTCCTTCCTCCCCCTCACCTTCCTCATCCTTCTCCTGCCGCAGCGTGCTGGTAGGAACTTGACTCTCCACCCCCCTTTTGCGAAAAACAGCCTGCATCCAGCATCGATACATTTTCAGTCTGCGCTGGCGATTCACCAACATGCGTCTGTCAACGCCGATATGCGCGACTTCGAACGTATGCTTTTCTTCTGACTTATCTTTAATCTGCAACTCCTTGACTTGGTCTTGTAATTGCGATTCTGCACTCTCTTCTCTCTTGTTTTCCTCTTCCGTACCACTACTGGGCGATGGCATCTTTCCAGCCCAGATATTCTCAAGTTCCTCCTGCTCAAAGAAATAAACACGTGTGCCATCTCCCCTCACATAAAAGTTCTCCTGGAGGTACCTTCCCTTCTTGAACCGTACCTGCGCTAGATCTCCACGGCCATAATCTCGAAACAGTACTTGCCCACCCGGCTTAAGTACACGCCAGATATTATCCACGGCCTGACTCCATTGCTCTGGACTCAGCGCACTAAAGATGAAAATCATGAGTACGACATCGACACTGTTTTCCGCCAGGCCAGGTGGTAAGCCCCCGTTTTCCGAGTCAGGCGGTGAAGCAACGTCCCAGACATCTGCCTGGATACGCTCAGGATCGTAGAGTTCATGATTCCTAATCAACTCGACCGCCTTCTTCGAAAAATCACACGCATGAATCTTCAACCTCTTATTCTGACTCCTTTGTAGTATCGGAAACGCACTATTCCCCGCTCCAGCGCCAACCTCCAACAACGTCGCCTGCGGTCCATCCTCCTTACCCAGTTCTTCTAGAATCGGAAACTCCTGCGCAAGCCACTTTCGGTTTTTGAAAAAATTCGTCTTGTTGTTCTTGTAAAATTGGTTCCACCATTTTTCGGGCTGCGCGTTGTAGCGCGAGCGGTCAAAGTCAGATACGGGTTCGGAGCGCTGTTTGGAGTATTGCTCTTCGGAGAAGGCGAGGTAGGTGGCGTCGACGGTGACGTGGTCCCAGGCGTTGAACTCGAAAATGTCGTCGCCTTCCTCGAGGTAGCGGGAGCCGAAGGCGAAGGGGTCGCTGCGCTTTTGGTTGTTGGTGGGGTCGTGAGAGCGGGATTGGGGGGCGCGGACGGGGGCGAAGGAGGCGGGGACGCCGTAGGCGTCGTTTTCGGCTGGGGGTTGTTGTTCTGTGGATGAAGGGTCTTGCGCTGAGTCTTTGGCGCTAGACTGTGTTGATTGTGATTTTGGTGTAGAGGCAGAATGTGGAATCGGGTCGGCAGTGACTGCGAAGCGCATGTGCTCCATGGCTTTTGATAATTGTTGTCTCGGCTGCGGTTTCTTCGACACACTATTATCCGTCTGAAATCTTGCGTCGCAGGATTGAACCAAATCCGCGTTGGCCCCTACATCTTTCTCCGCCCCCTTCGTCGCATCCATATCAGCAGCCATCGTGTCGTTGTAAAGTTGCGTTTATGTCGCGTATATATGCGGGGAGGGGGAGGGGGACCAGGAATTCTTAGAGGGGCACTCGCTTCGCCCCTCCAACGAGGCACGCGAAATTTCCCACGCTAGCAAACCCCCCCCCCCCCCCAGTCCAGTCTAGCGCTGCCGCAACAGCAACTCGTCCCTGACATGATAAGCGTCATGGGGGCGTAAGTAGAGCCGCAACACCCTAGCGCGACATTTCCACATTTCCTCCACCATCAACCGTCAACATCACTCAACCACACCTCCACGCCCAACTCCCAGCAACCGCCGCGAAAAAACGAACACCGGAAACTCCGCTATGATACCAACATAAACAACCACCACCTCAAAAAAATGCCACCACTCAAATCCGCCCGTCCCTTCCTCATCAACCACCACCCATCACACCACCAACGCCGCACCTTCCTCCCCAACCCCTTCACCTCCCTCACCCCACCTACCTCACCCCCTCAAATCCTAACCGCAACCCGCACCCTCCCCTATCCCTCCCCCCCTGTCTACTCCATAATCGCCGACGTCCCCGCCTACTCCTCCTTCCTCCCCTACTGCACCCACAGCACCGTAACGCAATGGTCCCTACCAGACCGCCAGTACCATCGACGCTGGCCCTCTGAAGGAATCATAACAACGGGTTTCGGCGCTATAACCGAGAGTTTCCGGAGTCGCATTTATTGTGTGCCTGGTAGATGGGTTGAGAGTGTGGGGGGAGAGGCGGAGACGGAGTTGAGGGGGGTGGATGTGGCGCATCATTTTGAGGGGGAGGGGCAAGGGATGCAAGGGAGGAGGGAAAAGGGGGAGAATGGGTTATTGACGTATTTGAGGAGTAAGTGG